ACCAAGACCTTAAGTCCAAGACCCCGAAGACTGTGCAAACCGCTCTGTCGCACGGCGGCATTGGCTTATTTGCATAGCTATTACCTTGCATGGCTCTTATCGACAAACCAGGGGGTCACATTTAAAAATGCGTTTGCTCCAGCTTTCTACGGCCGCATGACGAGTCTAATGTAATGTTAAATCCACTTCGGACGGCACGAGTGGCAGACTTCCGCGGTATTCCGGGTACCCGCGTTCACGGAAAGGAAGGAGCATTTCAGTGCTGGTGGGCGTTGGCACATCGCTCGCGCGCCGACGCGTGCCCTTGTGGAACGTCACGCCCGTCTGGCGTGACGCTCACAATCACTTGTTTGGGCATATTTTAATGGCAGTGTCTGCGCATGTTCGGAGAGTCCCCTGTATTAATGTGTGCTCGTTTTTAAATGATTATTTTTGCTCGACGTGGTTACTCGTACTGCGAGCGTAGCTTAAAGCTTCGAGTTTCGGCAATATATGAATTTGTCTTGCTCGATGTCGTGTAACCTGTGCCTTCTGGCGCACTAAAGGCAAATAATTGCCAGCATAAAAACTCCGCGCTGATAACATACCACGAAGTTCAAGGTTCTGAGCACGAAATTAGATTGTGTAACACATGCATTTATTGGCTAATAAAATGTATCACTTCATCTATAACTCAACGGCGTGTAAGTAGCATGATCATCACCACCTAAACCAGCATGCTCTCAATGGCACTGAGATTTTCCACTGCAAACGTCGAGACAGTGACTGACCCTAGGTGCTCAGAGGCCGCGAAGTAAAAACCAGATTGCATGTAATGGGCAATCACACTTGTCAGCTGGCCGTAATGACTAAAAGATATGGATTTAAGTTAGAGGTTAAGACGCGGGTTTTGATGCGACGCCACAAGTGCCTCAACTGCGTGAAAACAAAACGTTTCCTGGCAAGATTAGTTCATGCTCTCCGTTTAGGATCTCATTCGTGCGCATCCGGATTTCAAGAGGAAGGCGCCAACTGGATCTTCAAATCGGTATCATGTTGCTGCCTGCTTAGACCATGCCCTGCAATGAGGGGCGTGATGCCCGCGGGCTTAGCGCCCTCGGCTCCCACGGGGTGGACCCGGGTCCGTGTCCCGTTGGTGTAATGGCCACTGAGCGCTAATGTGGCCCTTGCTGTCACTGGCGCGCCATAAAAAGGTGCGAGTTCACATGCATGTCGTTTCCTTTAACGACAAAACTACCCTGAAATGAGCCTGTAAATTTTCAGCCACTTCAGGTTGTTGAACGCACAAATGATGAAGTATATTGAAGACCGCCTATAGCCGCTATGGATACCCGCGCATTATTCTCGTCTTCTTCATTCGAACTATCGACTTTCACAGGACAGTTTACGCGTCTTTTTCCCTTCGGCCCCGAGTGACCTTCTGACTGTCTTGTCTGTCTTGTCTGACTGTCTGACCGTCTGATTCAGGGACTCTGGCGCTGACCCATCTTTTGTAACGGGGCCTCGGCCCGCACGGGCTAAAACTCAGCACTGGGGACCCATTGACTCACATCAGGGACCCTAGCCGAGTGGCCCTTTCGTTGTCCCAGTGAGCCCCTGGGCGACGCAGGCGGCTCTCTGATTGGTGGTCTTGGCCCTGACATTGTCTTTGTTCGAATGTTGATCCCTGGCAAGCAAAGTCCCTCATTGTTTCAGGGAGCCCCCGAGTCACGCAAGGCAGGATCTATGACTGGCATTTGAGGGCCAAAGATCTCTCCTTGTTCGGCTAATGGGCCCCCGGCTGGTACATGGCTTCAGCTCAGTACTGTGGCTCTCTGTCTAACACAGGCCCCACCTTGAGCCTGGGTGAACCCCTGAACAACATAGGACGAGGCTCTTTGACATTCTAGTGCCCTTGGCTTAACTCGCGCGATATATTTCTGGTGTTAATGAACCACACATGTGTTGCCTGATGATCGCACCTTTGTGAATATGGCTATTTCATCATTATGTATGAGACTTTGCTTATGCATTGAGCATTAATTTGTGCTTTTGTTGATAACACAAACATACGTCAATTTCAATGTCAAATGACGGTAAATTCCACATCGCCCAAACGTTACAGGCCAATTTGCATTTTTAGACGTCAGAGCATTGCCCAGTGTATGAACTAGAGTCAATTCGGTCAAAAGTCGTGGCCTTTCAGTGTCGCCCTTAAAGGTCAAGTTTAGGCTCGAATGGTGTATCCCAAATTGACCGGTAGCTTTTAAGTGGCATGAAGTTCCCTGTTGTTGGGGGGGGGGGCTTGGATTTGACCTTGAACGGTGACCTTAAGAGGTCAGGTCTCCTTGGCCACTTAAGAATGTGAAATCGGCAGGTAAAGTTTGGCTTATGTGAATTTCACTCGTCATTTGATCTCGAATGTCGATCTTGAGGGGTCACGACTTGTTGCCGGACACTAGTTCATGCGCTGGTGAACATTCCGAGGCTTAAAAATCCGAAAATCGCTCGGTAAGTTTTTTTGGTAATATCGAGTTACTCGTCAGTTGACCATTAATTTGAACTTGAAGGTGACATGATAGTACAATCTAGAAGTCACATTCAGCATGCCCATGCCAAAGCTGACCATCTGGAACGTTGTCAGCGAACTCGGGACTAGTTGCTAAATGAGCCGCGAAATGAATCACTGAACTCACGGACATCTGTTGGTGTTGGTTTTTAAATTTGGTCTGTTGGCATGACATGCGTGAAGAAAATATAAAGTACTAACTCTGGTACCTGAAATTTGTTAACGGGAGAGAGTATGTGAAGTGGATTGGTTGGTGCGGAGCATGTGGTTGAGTATCCTGTATCTAGTGAGTCGGGCTGTGTGGGTCAGGTTTGATTCAGTCCATGGAACAACCGATACAGTCTGCGACATATACATTGCCTATATCTATCTGGCTTGGGTCACTACTGCAGGTGGGTTAACACGCGCCCGGGCGGCCGGTTGTAAACCCTTCGCTGGGATTGGGGATGATCAATTTGACCCTCTGAGGTCTCAAGAACCAATGTAGTTCAAAACACTAAAATCACAGGGTGGATTAGCCGGCATGTGAACTTAATTGTGCAAAAATTTGAGGCTACCAGGGGATGACCTTGAACCCCAAAAAAGCCAAACAGACCCAACTCCAGATTAGTGTCTAAAGTGCCCCCACACCTCCTCATGCAACCGCCCATGCAACCGCCCAACCGCCCATACCTGTTCTAAGCAAGAACTCGATGGTGTTTAATCTAGGTTAGTGCTTTTTTACCTTTAAAAGGTCAGGTGACCAAACACCTAAGAGATTGTTCCTCTTTTGCCATTCGTAAGCGTCATGGATCACACTAGGCGGTATGCTCCTGAAGACAAAATGCTTGATCAAGGTTATTTTACGCCAGCAACCTACTCTGACCTTTTAGAAGTCCATAGAGGGTGTCTGTAACGGTTCTTGTTATCAAGAAATTCGAAATGAGCATGAAAAACTAACCCAATAATCAAGCTCACCAGTAAAAAGTAAGCTGGTTTGACCTCGGTCTGCTCTTCATGCCTGATTCTAGGTCCATGGAATTCATTGTAATCCCAAATTTAATTATTTCATTGCTAAAGAAGCTATATCAGATGTGTACGGCTTTGTCTAACACTCCGTTGTTGCATCATATCGAACGATTCCCCAGAAATGTCTTTCGCTGACAGTCACGACCTGACTTTGACCTTCATAGGTCAGCAAGGTATATCTATTGCCTTACATCATAAGATCCTCTAATAAATTGTCTACAGCCCTACCAAGTTTGGTGCGGCTACGCCGTGCCGTTTGGAAATAATTCTGGAAAAACCTTTGGGAGGCGTCAAATTGACCCCCCAACCGGGCCCGAGTCAAGTTAGTTTTAACAGAATACAGGTTACCCCTTTTATGACACTTTGATTTACTGCGATTGGGCTGGAATAGACTTTCGGGACTTTGGTCGTCGCAAAAATTCCTTCACGGTGCGGTT